CATTTCCTCAGTTACTGAGTCTTGGGCTGCAGTCGTATGCCTGGCATGTCTGAGGCTCTAGGAATATTGAGATGGGCACGTTTGTAGACAGAAAAGATATAGAAACAAGTAATGGTTGACTGTAAATGCTTATACTGTTTACCTGGAGGCTGCAGGGTAAGGGGTGTGAAGAACCTGGGGCCTCAGTTCCACCCAATTGAGCAAGCTCCACTCTCCGTTTCTTCATTTGTGAAATGGGGCAATGGACAATATCTACCTCTCAGTATTGTCCTGAGAATTCTTTGTCAATCACTGTGCTTGAGGGGTGGAAAACTTCATAAATGTCGGCTATCAGTCCTAAAAGTATGCACAGGATATTTTTGTAATTCAATCAAATCTAAAATGAAGAATAAGAATGGTTTAGTCATCAAAGACTTACCAAGTAAACTGGTCTTTCTGTCAACAAAAAAGGACTCTCACCCTTGAGATTTTTCCCAGAGTTTTGTATCCAGGCTCTCTGAAAACTCAGGTAGAGAAAGTATCCAGGAGAGACACTCCTGGCTTCATCCAACCTATGGGATCAGGGGTGGGAGAAGCGCCAAGTGCACCACAGCCTCCCATCCTTAAAAATCTCTAAGACACAAGTGTTCATGGCTACTCAGGGTTTCGTTTGCATTCCTGCCTTTTAACTAAACTTCATTGTGATATAATTTGCTGCAATAGACTTTCACCCCTTAGAAAATTCCCTGTGTCCCTTAGCAGTAAATTCCTACCCAAATAGGAAATAGGGAGATGGATCTCAAAGGGGAAGGAGATCAAGAGATGGAGAAAGGGGGAGGGAGGGGAATGAAATTAGTTTTTTTGAAACATGGTTGTGCTATGTAGCCCAGGCTGCCCTCAAAATTATGATTCTCCTGCCTCAGCTGGTATTATAGGTGTGCTCCACCATACCCTGCTCCAGCCTGGGGGCAATTTAGCAAGATCTTGTCTCAAAATGAAAATAAAAAGGGCTGAGATCACAGCACAGTGGTGAACTATTTGCATGAGACCCTGAGTTCTGTCTGTAGTACTGCCCCACCCAAAAGCTGGAATTTTGAAGAATTATATATGGAATCATCCAGTGTGTATTCTTTAGCACTTGACTTCTTCCACTCAGTGTAATTATTTTGATTCATTTATTTGCTGTTAAGTATATTTGATTCCCTTTTTTTCCACTCTATATGGGAATAGCTTCTAGTTTGGGACTCTAATGAGAAAAAGCACTAATGAACATTTCTCTATATAAGTTTATTTGTGAACATAAGTTTTCATTTATTTAGGGTAAATACCTAGACATGGAATTGCTAGGCTTTAGGACAAATATTTATTTTTTCCAGTTCTAGAGGTTAACCCCAGGGTCTTCACACTGAGGCTTCCCAGTCCATTTTTATTTTGAGACAAGGTCTTACTAAGTTGCCCAGGCTGGGTTTGAATTTACAATCCTCCTTCTCAGCCTCTTAGAGTTCTGAGATTATAGCACCAAACCTGGCTGTATATTTAATTTTGCAAGAGACTTTTTGCCGCAGCAGTGGAACCATTTTATAGTCTCACCAGTTGGCTGGAGTTTACTTATGGTGTTGCAGTTGCTGCTCCCTCTTCCTTGAGTAATCTTTCACTACTTGTGGCATGGCTGGCCTCTTGACATTCAGGTCTCAGCTCAACGTCATACTCTAAAGAGATGGTTAGGAACTGAATTGTGCCCCTCCACCCACCCAACTTCATATATGGGAGAAACACATCTTAGTACCTAATGATGTGACTGCATTTGCAGATTAGGTCTTTAAAGAGGTAATTAAATAAAATGAGGACTGTAATCCAACATGATTAACATCATATAGGACCAGAAGAGGAAGAGATACCAGATTCACTCTTAAAGAGGGAAGACCACGTAAGGACACAAAAAAGTGGGTGTCTGCAGGCCAAGAAGGGAAGCCTCAGTAGAAACCAAACCCCTACATACTGATCTTGGATGTCTAGGATCCAGAATGATTAGAAAATAAATTTCTGTTGATTATGCCACCCAATCTGTGATGTGTTGTTATGGAAGCCCTAGCAAACTAAACATAAAGGTTTTCCAATTACCATTTCGCAATCACCATAATAATTATTTCAAGAATCATCGATGAACACTAAAGCCAGAAACTAATGAAGAACAGGAAATTTAGTCTCAAAATTATCTTCCTTCAAGATATTTAATAATTACAAAGGGAAAAAACAGGCATTGCCTCAACAAATGATCAGAGTTAACATCACCAATGTTGGTACAAGCCAATGTCGTGTGTGCTGCCTGATGTAAGATGCCAAGGACAGAACTTTCTTTCAGTAGCCTTTTTTTGTCAAAAGTGCATAGTCTGGGTCAGGCATTTAGCTCAAAGGTTCTGGTGCCTGCCTTGCAAGCCCAAGGACCCGAATTCAATGCCTGGTACCCCCCCCCAAAAAAAACTGCATAGTCTGAATCCAACCAGAAGAAAATATCAAGCAATTCCAATTTAGTAACATTCTACCAAACAGCCTGCCAATATACTCCACAAATGTCAAGGTCATGAAAGACAAAGAAAGCAGTAACTGCCTTCCCAGAATAAAGCAAAGTGAAGATCAGGTAGGAAAACTAAATCCAACAAGTGATCCTGAATGAAATCGTAGGTAGTATCTATAAAGGACACTATCTGGGGAGATTAGCAAAACTTAAATAAAAATGCCATATTAAATAAGGAAATGGTATCATTGTTAAAATTCTTGATTTTGATCATTGTACTGAGACTGAGCAAGAGAGAGTTCTTAGGAGATAAATCAGAAATATTCAATAATGGGATATGAAATCCTGTGCTTTGTTTTCTTTTTGTGACAAGACCTTTCTATGTAGTTCCATACTGGCCTTGAATTTGCTGTGTAGCCTAGCATGGCCTCAAACTCACAGCAATCCTCCTGCCTCAGACTCCCAAATCCTCCTGCCTCAGACTCCCAAATCCTGAGATCACAGGCATATGCCACACCAGCTAGAATATGCAATTTTAAAACTGCAAAATGATTTAGGGCAAAAGGCACATATATATGTGTATATGTACATGTGCCAGTGCATATACATATGAGATATATGATCATACACATGTACAAAATTTAAAACTTTATTACTCTAGTTGAAAGTGTATGAGAGTTCTTTTTCGTTTTTGAGACAGGGTCTCACTATGTAGTTCAGACTGCTCTGGAATTCACTGTGTAGCCAGGCTGGTCTCAAACTCCCAGTGACCCTCCTGCCTCAGCTTCCCAAGTGCTGAGATTACAGGTGTGCACCACCGCACCTGGCTGAGAGTTCTTTACTACTTTTTAAATTTCTAAATACATTTGATTGTGTGTGTGTGTGTGCGACTGAAAATGGAACCCAGGTCCCTGAACATCGTAGGCAAGCACTCTTGTACTAAACGTCATCTCTGATCCTACATTTGAAATTTTGTTTTGAAGAAATTAGACTCTCAGTGATTACACTATCAGAAGAGATCTTCAGCCAGGCGTTGTGGCAGGGGTCTGTAATCAATCCCAGCACTTGGGAGACCGAGGCAGGATCTCAGCAAATTTGAGGCCAGCCTGAACTACACAGTAAGAGCCTGTCTC